CCAAACTCATTAAATGATCTAATCCTTTTGTAAATCAGCAGCATCCTCTTTACAGCTAGCAACACCCAATACCTTAATATCATTTGCAAATTTAATTAATTTATCTACCATTCTTTCATCTATTTCACTGATGTAAATTAAAAAGAGCAAAGGTCCTAAGACTGAGCCTTGAGGTACCGCACTTGTGACATTAATCCAGTTTTACCTAAATATCATCATCAAATAAAATAAAGTTTACATCCATTGTTGGAACAGGATGTTTATATGGAAACAAGTTTCAACACTTTCACGTGTCCTCTTCAGTCCAACTTTTCGTTGTGAGAGAAACACAATTTATTTTATAACAGTTGTTCCAAGTCCCTTGAGGGCATATGATGTCAGTAAGGAGTTCAGTTTATACTGACCTTCTGAGATAATTTCTAGTTTTATGTAAATACCATTATTTGTTTGACCATTTTTAACTCACTTTTATGTTCTGTTTTATAGTCTTGTATCTAAATTTCTACTCATTTCTCCCACATAAGCTTGGTCACAAGACTGATAGGGGACTATATAGACTCCTTGTTCCTTATTTTGAGGTGCAGAAGATGTTCAAGAGTAAGAAGTTTTTAATGGTGTTGAGATATTTATAAACAACTTTGAAATTGTTGTTTTTGAGACATTTCTCTAGAGCCACAATATAAGAACTGTAGTTGATGCTGAGTATTTTATTTTTATTTTCATATGTAGATGATGCTGTTTGTTGGCTATTGTTCCTATAAAATGTATTTCTTGCCTTATGATGGGCATTTTTGATAAAACTCATAGGATATTGTAGCTGTTTTAAGATTGTATAAATGTTTTTGATTTCTTAATCAAGGGTTGTATGATGATATATTCTGAAGGCTCTTAGAAACATGGAAGTTACAATGGATGTTTTAACTGTTTTATGGTGCAGGAGAAAAAGTGACTTAAAAGGGTTTGCTAATTTTCTATAGATTGAGAGGACAGGCCCTGTTATTTTTCTAGTTATGAGAATGTCTAAAAATGGGAATGAATTATTAATTTCCCATTCCACTTTATACTTGACTGTACTGAGAAGCTTGTTTATCTTCCAGAAAAAGGTTTGAAAATCATTTGTATCATTTGGCCAAACCGAAAATATGTCATCAACATATTGGAACCAAGGTATGTTTGCTGGGTTCAAAATACTGTATAAAGATGTTATACAAAATTGGGGATAAAGGGTTTCCCATAGCCATTCCATATTTCTTTCTGTAATATTGTCCCATGCATGTAAATACATTATCATCAACATATACTTCAACAAGGAAGATGAAAATATGAACCGGCACAGGAAGAGGAATGTTAGCAAACTTAAGTAATTTATTGACCATTCCTTCATCTATGTCATTGATGTAAATCCAAAAAGAGCAAAGGTCCTGAGACCGAGTCCTGAGGTACCACATTTGTGACATTAATCCAGTTTGACTGAACTCCATTTATAACAACCCTCTACTTTATTCCATCGAGCCACTCTTCTATCCAACTAGCTAACGTAGCTCCCACACATATAGAGACAATTTTTTTAAAACCTTTTATGTGGCACCTTGTCAAATGCTTTCTGAAAACCCAGATACACCAAATCTACATCCTTTCCCTCATCTACCTGAGCAGCAACCTTTTCAAAGAATTTCAAAAGATTTGTATGCAAGATTATCCCTTACTGAAACCATGAGGACTATTCAATACATTCTGATAAGGGACATTAACCCCTCTCATAAATAGCTATTCTCATTCAGTGCTGCCTTCTATATGCAAAAACATTTTTCACATGCCACAAGCCTTGAGCTCCCATGTACCCTATGATCAACATGGTTTAACTGCATTTTGCATGTAAATCATCATGCAACAACCCTCCAACAATAGGAGTGCAACACACCCTTCTGATGCATGTGACTCCCTGTATTTTATTCTACCAAACTATAACTTCTCATTTGGCAGTGCTTGTGCCAAGATGTTTTTTATTGTGCTTTTCAATTGTGTTTTTTCTTTCAACTTAATGCATTTTTTTATATTAATTCTGAAGTGGAATTGTTTTGTTTTTTTACAGTTTTATTAAAGATCACAAACTTCAAGATAACTTATTTTTTCCCAGTTTTAATTTTTTCATTTTATCACTGTTGTATTTGATCATTCATTGTTCATAATGAATTCTGAAGTC